CCTAGGGCGGGAAGAAGATAAGAAAACGCGAAGCGTTCTATTGGTTTCCCAACTTATTGCTTCTAAAGGCTGCCCTCTCTCGGCTGGATGTTGGTCCAGCCTACTACGAGGATCCCGTATCCAGCAACCCAATCTAAAAAACGGTAAAAAAAAGGCCTTGTCTAGGTTGGAGCTATGAAGCTTACCTTATTATGATGTATGAAAAGGCCTTTCCTTCACGGGCTTACTTAGTGCTTGTGCTAAGGAGCAAGAAAACGGATGCGCTAAGGTTGACGCTCGACCCAAACAAGCAACGGCGAGCCCCTATCAGAGAAAGCCTTGGTCAAGCGCGCTAGCGCGCTTTACTTGGAGGTTCGCGCATCCTCTTGCTGGGAGAGGGGCTAATGCCACTCGACTGGTTGGAGAGGGGTGAAGTGAGAGTCAGGGGAATGGGCTTTTTCAGCTGGTGCGCTAACGCGCACTTCCGTTTTCCCTTTACTAGTAGGGGGTCCCGTGGTTCCTATGCCGCCGCGTTTCCCGGTCCTTTTCTTTTAGTGCTTCGACCCGAAGCGATAGCTTCTAGCTAGTTCAGTGGATAAGATGGCTGCGCTCCAGCTCACTCAAGAATGGGACGGCAGTGGTCCGCCGGCAAGCTCGTTCTGATCTTGGACGCAGTACATTGGAATCCTGAAGCACCACCACGAACGCTACCGCGCGTTCGCCTGCGGTGCGGTAAGGCACCACCCTGTTGTGCCAGCAGCCAACTCCGGCGTGTCAGCTTAGTTATCCTCATCAAGCCACTTACTTGATGTCTAGCTTGCCAACTGGTAGACGGTTCCTTTTTCCCCCAGATCAATGAAGAAGGGATAAGTCAGTTTATTCTTCCGAATAACGGGAAGCGAAGCGCTATGCGGGGCGGGGGGACGGGAAAAGAAACGGCTCCGAAGAAAGAAATTGAGATTCCCAATGCTTCTCCACGCCCAACGAGATGCGCCAACCTCGGGATGCTTTACTCCTAACCCCACTAGGTTCCGAGACGGAGCTTAACCTGAGTCTCGGTTAAGAACGGCGATGATCTACGTTTCACACGGTGCACGATTCCATGGATAGTTTCATTCGACATCGTGATGGAGGACATAACTTACGATCATCGGCTTTGATCATGCCACTAGGCATTTTATTAGGACATTGGAAAATTATCCGCAGACTTTGTCGCATCTCTTCAATACGGATACAGTAACGATCATAGCGATCTCCTCTGGTACCTACTGGTACGTCAGGATCCGATTGGTCATGAACATCGTAAGGTGCTGCTCTTCGCGAATCCCAGCATACCCCTGGTTGGGATGGGTAGGCCCACCACTTCACTTTCACTTAGGCCTGGGCCAAGTCAGTGGGGGGACCCTGTCGGGCTCCTCCCCCCCCCCCAAAAAAGACAAACTGTACGTGAGAGTTTCCCTTCATACGGCTCGAATCATTCTCAGATGCCCCGAGAGGCATCCTTTCCTTGTTTGTTGGGTTGCGCGCAAACGAGCACTGGCCGCAACAGCAGGGAACTATGACCAATAGAGTCAGACACTTAGCTAAATCCGCACGCAAAAGGAATGTGGTTCTGGTTGAGGCTTTATTTCCTTTATTAGTCTTGGGGGCGCGGGACGTTCGTGGAGTCTGTGCCTTCCGTACCACCACAGGACTGGTCGTTCTTGGGCGGATCCCGCTCCTAAACATAAGGGATAGGGGGGGGCCTATCATATCAAAAGGGTTGTAAAAAGAGAACCCGGCTACCTATTTCATTCGACGTTCCGCCCGCCCGATTCGACCTACTTTTTGATAACAAGAAGGCGGCGAGCTTATCTGCTTTGATCAAGGAAAAAGCCCAGTCAGCCACCAACTCGGTGCAGGTCACGTGACCTACAGCTCGGCCTTCGCTTTTTGAGACTTCCTCTACCCACATCTCTATGTGCCCGCAGCACTTCCATATGGAGAAAGATAGGCTTACCATGTTCCATCAATAGCACCTACCCTATGCCGATTTTGGCGGACTGTGCTCCACCCCGGTGAACTCATGCGGTTCCGACGTGCCCCGAGGCCAGAGGCGAATCCATTCACGGTCCGTAGGACCAACACCATTCGAAGGTCGGTGGCCCGCCCCGCCTAGAACAGTCATGTTTGACTGGGCTTACACACATTCGCTCACTTACGCTGTCCCCCCTCAGCTCACCCTAGCCCCGGGCCTTTTGCTCTTCTAACGTAAGCTCCAAGGCTTCACACCAAGTCTTCACTGACAGAATATGCATGCTTAAGTAGGGTCAGGCAGAACCGTTGTTGCCTGATGGGAACTCCCCCCATATTGCTATCAATGTCTTCATGTCGCACGACCTCTTAACATTACACCACTGAATCCCCAATCCTTTGCTTGCTGTGCAGTGACAGTACCAATATCCACTAATCGTTGTTTCCAGATACGGTTGCCGGTTGACATCTCTTCTAATTCGTCGATACGAGAAGTAAATTGTTGTGTGAAGGAATCAATATCTCGACATAAGCCAAGAGGCAGATCTTGTGCCACTCCACCTGGTCGTATGAAACTGGCATGCATCCTGGCTCCCGAGACTCTTTCATAGAATTCCAACAATTTCTCCCGCTCCTCAAAAGCCCACAGGGACGGAGTTGATGCTCCCACATCCATAGCATGAGTAGTTAAAGCAAGTGAATGATTTGAAATTCGAGTTATTTCACGGAATAACACTCGTATATATTGAGCTCGTAATGGTACCTCGCAATTCAAAAGTCTCTCTACGGCTGAAGAATGAGCGTGTTCTTGGGCCATCGTAGAAACATAGATAGGGTCGACGACGGAACGAAGAACTCACCCTAGATACAGCTTTTTCGTACACGTTCACTTGCATCACATACACAAGTGCTCTCTGAACCGTGCAATAAGGTCACCCATAACACGGCTCTCCCACTTGAGTGACCTTAGCCCCAGGCAGGCCATGCTATTCAATGATATTGGAAAAATGGCAGTGTAACGTAACAGTATTGAAAGCTGGTCGCCTTTTGAGGGAGGGAAAGCCTTTCAATAGGAGCCCTACTTCCCTCTTTGCGACCTCATCACTTCAAAGCGCAAACCCATTTCTTTCTGAGTCACCGGGCGGAGCGCACCTTTGGTACTTTGCTTATAGCTTTTTTAGGTTATGCAATAGACGGGAGGCTTAGCTCAGGATCCCCCCTGCTTGCAGAAATGAATGGATCAGAGGGGGGGGCTGGGTTATATTTCCGGGCCGGGCGGGAGGTGAAGGCCATAAGATAAGATTGCCCTCCCGGTAAGGAAGAGAGGAAAAGGGTGTTGTCATCTATCTCGACCAGTTTCCCGAGGCGTTGAAAATCCAGACCGGCTCAGAGAATCACTGGCGCTATTTAGCCCTTCGTTTCGCCATTCGAAGTACTACCTCTGCCTTCCCTTTTTGTAACATACCCAGGCGCCCTCCTTTCCAATCACTAAGAAAAAAAACCAATCAAAGCCCTATCTAAGTAAAGCTTCGTCTGTTATTTTCCCGGCCCCTGGGGAGTTTACTCAACCCATTCCCCAGTCTTCCGCACTGCTCAAGTAAGTGTGCGACTCCGTATGAGGACCTCCTTCCCTTCTGCCCACTCTCTGTTCACACGGTTCTCAAAGCAGAGGAGGAAAGGTGGGCAGCAGGTACCACGAGCCCTCTGTCCCACACATCTATCCAGAAGCAAGTGTAGTTCACCGGTTCCACCGAATGCTCCTATCTATCGGCAAAGATCGTGTGAGTGTGCAGTTATGCTTCGGATGCTTCGCCATAGAATAGATCGACCCAGTTCCTGTTCTTTTCCGGTGCACTCGCTTTATATCTCCGACACACAAGGAAGGACGCGGTGGGAAGGAAGCAGCCCTAGCCTCTGTCCGGCCGATCATTCCGCTGGCATCTTGCATTCACGCCTCCGTTTGACTGCCGCTCGGGGATGGAGTTGTAGATACGTTAGTCTTAGCGGATCGTTGGCTCCACCTGTTATCTCCTTCTACGACATGCTGTTGTCGTCGCCATATTCAATATGTCACTTAGTCATCTCTGCCTCGCTGCGGGTCAGCACCTCCGAAAGAAACGGAGGACTCCATTCAGTGACTCCGCGATCGCCCTCTAAACGATCAGAATAAGGTAAAGCTTGAAGATAAGTTTTGTACTCTATTAATTTCTCAGTCCCTCTAGTCGGGTGGGCGCCGGCCGGTCTTTCGACCAGATCCCCCTAAAAACCGTACGTGCGGGTCTCCCCGCATGCGGCTCACGCCATTCGAGGTGGCCCAGCCCAGCATTCATTCGCAAATCCTGTAGTGAAATTGAGACTGCTCGACCTCGGAAGCTAATTCGCGTGTAGGCTGCGCTGTCTGTCGTACCGTTGACTCTATCTATTCATTGAATTTACTTTCATTCATTTTTTTTGTTTGATAGGCTTGCTCCCTCTTTTTCCAAGAATTAATGCACTTCCCCTTGACTTCAGAGGGCCTTCTCTAATAGGGGAAAAGCCTTCCATTTCCGTCAAATGACCCGGCCCCCCAGGCTCTTCCACCGTCCTGGCTCCCTTTCCTACCTATGCTATGCTCCCCCGGCACAGGCCTACCACGCTTCGCGCCTGCGGCGTTTTCGCCGGACGGTCTTTGCCAGTAGTGCCATCCACCCCGCTGGCTGTATGGGCGGGTTGTCCCTCGCTGCTGCGTTCTGTTAGGCTATGGATTACAGGAACAAATGTAGTTGAATGAGACAGCAGGCGGGTTACACGTTCCGCAGTGCCGAGATGTGAGGTGCAGGTGGTGATGATCACCCCGGGGTATGCGCTAGCGCCCTTGACAGGCACTCCAGGACCCGCCAACGCTCATTAAAACCCGGGTCGGTCGGTCCTCCATTCATCTGACCGGAGGTGTGGATAACGAGGCCACCTTCACAACCTTCTCCCTTCTGTCCTTATGTTGTAGTAAGGTAGGGCGGTTCGCTTGAGTTGCTCAACCGCCCCTTAGCCCGGTGCTCGTGACGCGCTACGGGACCTCCACCGTGCCGGGGGACCAAGCAGGGCATAGCTAGCGGCATAGGAGCCGACTCGGCGTCAGCGGCTTCGTGCCGCACTGGAGTGATCCAATATGTGGTTCCGCACGTTCCACCACTTCTCCGTTCATTTCCAATACTGATCGTGAAACACCATGAGCAGCAGGATGTTGAGGTCCGAAATTCGAAGTGAAATTTTTTATTTGCCCGTTCCTAGTCGTCATGGGAAAAAAGGAAGAAATAAGAAAGAGATTATTCCCTAAGAGCTTGTCCAGTACTACCTGTACCAGAAATGCATCTCCTTGCGTGCGAGAGACTTCTATGCCAGCCGCCGGCTCTGTTATGAAAGAAAGCGGCAGACTCATCTTACAGGTGTTCCCTAATGAGGTATTTTAGGGGATTAGGGTTCTCCTTTATCTCCTCCACCCATCCGCGGAGGGTTTCAATATAAATCTCCGCAGATATTTTCAGATCGCGAGACATAATGTTCTCTGCGACACTGGAATAGATTTATTCCATTTCCGGAAAGTGAACGGAAAGCCGCCCTTTCCCCTTCTCACAATATTCCCGAACTTGCTCAAGAATCAATGAATAGCACTTCGAAGTCCCTCAGGGGGATCGGCGTGGGGAACTTCCACCGGTTCTGGACTGGAGCCTGCGGGTTCTGAATGACCTCCCTCTCACGGTGAAAAAAGTGGTTAACCATCTCGAAGAAATCCATATCGTCCACCTGAAAAACGTGTCTCAACTACAGCCAACTAACTCCCCTGTTTCCCTATCGAAAAACCAACCCTACTAAATTGGTTCTAGAAATGCTAACCAAGTTACACACTGGGGCCATGGGTCATGAAAGAGGTTGACCCCCATCCCCCTTCACTATGTATGGCCAATGAACTCCTCGCTTTAGTCCGTTCTTTTCCTTCTTTGGGCTCGGGTCGATAGTAGCCGTGGTAGTAATGTCCCGGAGCCCGGCTACCGACCCGAGGCGCTGATCGGGAAAGTAATAAAGGGACGTTAAACGTAATTCTAGAAGGGCGTTACCACAAAAAAAAATCCGAGTCTTGGTAGTTTACTTGCTTACTTGTTAGAGTCAGGCAGTTGAAGTGAAAGTTTATTAGACTAGTCCCACTAAGATGGCGGGGAAACTAACTTCCGAGAGAGCTGCTTTCGCCTCGGTAATTACCTAACGAGAGAGAGCCGATGCCAAAGTAGCCCTTTACGCGAGGGAACGCCAGACAGACTGACCTCTGCTAACTAAGTTTTTTTATATAGACTGGAAGCTAGAGAGAGACTATACTAAGGTATAGTGCCGCTACCAGAGAAGGCTGTTTCATGCTAGGCGTCCAGACCTACTACGCCCGAGCCGCATCCCCGGCACACTTGCTATATCCACTAAGGCTTCACATCCCACTTCATCCTACCAACTAGACCTTATATAAATAGCCGTTCTATAACAATTCAAGACAACAAGAAAGCAAAAGATTTGATCAGACCTTTTATTATTTTTATTTCCATTTATTTTTCCTTCCATGGAACGGAACCTTATTTGCCTTCGCCTCAGTAGCCGCTTTTGCTTATGGTAAATAAGTATCCGCAGCTGTCTCCGACTTATGGTGGGTTTCAATAGATCTCTTTTCCACCTAGGTCAAAGGGGTATGCCGCTATGCTACACCGAAGTATGCTCCTAGGTAAGCGACTGCCTTTGGATCCGCCTCTCGAGCACGAGGGTCGTTTTCATAAAAGGCTATCGATCATGAAGGTTTGCCTATGGCTCTGTATCTACCTCTGTCTGCTGGTGCTTCTTCTTTTTTTTTAGAAGCTAAGCTGCAGGATCAATGGCTTAAACTACTGCTTCTTCAACGCTTCTCCTGCGACTTGTTCTCCTTTCGTCCTTGCTCCTGCACGCACCTAAAGGTACAGTATCTAAACGCTCCTTCTGTTCTTAGGAAAGGGGGCCCAAGGCTCATCCTTATGCTTTCGGTTTTCGAGTGAAAAACTGAGTTGGGGAGACCTGTCAAGCTTTAGGATAGCTCTTTTCAAAATATTTTATTGTAATAGAAGCTAAGCTTTTATACCGAATCGGGTTTGTTGATGGAATCATAGCCGGGCCGGAACTCTTGATCTATCAATAGAGGGTGAGAACTCAATCAGGAAGGACTGCTAGTCATCACCGAGGGTATGACCAAGGAACTGCTGCTGAGAGCGATAGACTTTCCAACTGAGATGGAGAGAATGCGCTCCTACTCTCTTTCAATCGCCGATGTTAAAACATCGAGGGCGTAGACCCGAGGGGAGGTTGAGTCAGCAGCTAGTTTTGCCGGAATAGGAATAAACGATGCAATTAAATCTGTAGGAGGAAGGTAGAGCAATAGACAGAATGAGTCTTAGTTTCAATATCCCCCGCTCTTGTTGTACTGTTCATGGCATGGTTTGGTGGGACCAATAATTGCTCTTGTTCCCGGACCGGGAAGTTTTTGCATTGATGCCGGGAATACACACTCTCTTTCTCTTTGAAGGAATCCGCATGGAAGGCTCTCGACCGGGTCGTGGCATTGCTCTGGAGTGGAGCCGGGGAAGGAGCGAAGGGCAGAGGATTTAGCTTTGGCTTTGGTTCGGTTGACCGTATGACTATAGTTTATGTGGTCTTGTTCAAATAGAATAGGTCCCTTTGGGTGCTATCACATAGCCCTAAGCAGGGCAAGGAAGGTCTCTACAACAAAGAGATATGCCAATTAGCGGCACACTTACTATAAACCTCTTTTCGTTAAATCCTATAACAACTCTTATCTTAGTGACTCTTCTCAAATCTCTTTAGGGAGTGAATGACTCTTGGGTATGGCGGAAGAAGAAAGAATAAGTAATAAATACGACTAGACTTTTAGCTTGAAGGTGGGCTTTAGTCTTTTAACAACCGATCTTGCGACATCAAGTTGTCAATCCGGGCATCGACTTGCCTTTTTTTTAGTATCCCTTTAGAGCAGAGCGTCTTTCCTATCTCTCCAGGCTAGTCTCTTAGATAGCAAGTCAAAGCAGCTAGTTCGAGGGTCAAAGTCTAGCAATAAGCTAGTGCGCTGATGAAAGTCGATAAGGAAAGTCAACTGGTCACTCCACCAGAGAAGAAGGGTTGTTGAGAAGGTAATCAAGGAGTTCCGTCTTCTACGATGTATGCTATGAAACAGGTTCATACTGGAAGAATGGATGGCGCAGGAGTCTTTCTTTGGACTGATGAACTCTGAAACCTAGATTCTCCCCTTAGGAAATCGCCTGACAGAGAGAGATGCTCTCTCGCTAGAGATAAGAGCGGAGTGAAGCTGCTTTTCCGAAGAGAGAGCGTTAGAGAGTAGATGATACGTTCTAAGGGTGAAGCTAACGCTTCCCTGGCCACTAGGGAGTCATCAAGGTATGAGTCCGCTAGCTAATACTGGATCGTCAAAGACCTTCTTCCATTTCTTAATACCTTATGTCTCTCTCCTAAAGGATCCAATCCTACCCCAACACGGAGAGCTTATCCACTACATCTACTTTTAAGATTCATTTTAAGAGTGATGCGGAGTTAGAAAATGAGTTGACGAGGGAATTGACACCCGGCGTGTTTATAATGGTGGAACCGTATGCTACAGTTGGTGAGCTGAAGATAGCAGTGCAGAACGGGATACTTACTTTATTATGGAACAGTTTGTGGTAACTGATATTGAAGACATGGAGGGATGAGGAGGTCTTTTTTGGCACAGTTGAGTCGGGTTCAGCTGAGAGGGAGCAGGATAGATTTTGGCACTGATTTGAAGGGGATGAAAATGGAAAGTCTAATGCGAGTCACTCTTTCCGAACTCCCAACTCCAACCAAGCATCCTAGAGGGAGGAAAAAAACCCTCCGTCACCTTATCGACATCTAGCTCATCTGTCCGCTCTCTATCGTTGGACTTCGTTGCGTTGCTCAATTCTTCTTTCATTGTGAAGTGTTGGACTCTGTTAAAATAGGATTCCTATTGTGTTCCACTCATTTGCTTAACACAAAGAAATCTATTATTTTATCATCATCCGACTACTGACGGCTACGAAGGAAGCTGGATTTGCTCCTTTCCTGTTCGCTCGGAAGCCCGCCCTATCACTAAAAGCCGGAACATGATTGCTTCGGGGAAAGACTTTCTTTCATCTGCTTCACTGTGATAGCGGAATAAAAAACCTGGGTTCACTCCCTCCCCTGTCCCTGTGACCGGTATCCGGTCTTACCTTTTTCCCAGAGATATGGGATTGCCTCTTTTATGGCTTCCTGCTGCAACTACTAGGAGACTGGCAGAGTCCGGGGTGAGAGGTTTGATTCAGGGCGTCGGTAGGGCTTGCCTTAGTGAAAAGTAGGAGCCATACCATAGTTAGTCAAGAATCAAGAGTAGAGGTCGGGTACCTCGATCAGAGCAATGGAGAATCGGAGGATGGATGAAAGGCCAAGTCAGACCCCGAGGATAAGGTATCAATCAGAAGAGGAAAGTAGATCAGCCTACTACCAATTAGTTTGTTAGCAAACATAACATCTCGTGGTCAGGAAACAACAACGTATAGAAAGCCAAGAGCCCCTCCCCAATTATAGATCTATCAACCTAAAGAGGAAGCGCTCACAAACTACACGAAAGTTGTCCCTTTTTCTTGCTTTCTTATTCCTCTTTTTATTTATTCGGAATTCCCATCATAGTCATTACTGATTGTGCCGACGGGAATAGATCTTATTTATCAGACGATTCTTACTCTTTTCCCTCACTCTCCTCCCTTGCCTCCCCCGGAGGAAAGGGAGCAGTTCCCCGAAATCCAACAAGAACCAAATCACCAGCTTCCTGAGCATCCTGGTGATCAAGCACCTCAGAAACCAGGACCCTCACCTCAGCAATCCAAAACGTCTCCCTCCATTAGTTCGTCTTCTTGGCCTTTTACTTCGTCTGATTGTTACTTTATCCGGAATTTTTTGAATGACGAAGTGGGGCCTTCACATATAACCCCCAGGGAGGGAGGAGAAGCCGGACCATAAAAAAAAATGTAAATCCAACAGCGTTCGACCAGGAGGTCTCTTCAGCCCTGAACCGAGGGGACCTGCCCACTTCCAACCAGCAGTCGGCTGTTCAGCCGGCGCATAACACTGGGTGGCACAGCAGAGGATGCCGGAACCTGAGGATGACCATTTATATAGGGCCATTGATGCTATCAATATGGCCTGTAAAAACAGCCATGATAGACAGAGCCCACATTCTCTTGCAGAAGAAGGAAGGGGATCATTCTCGAGGAACCAAAGGATGTGAAGCGTGCGCTCGAGGTGGCTCTCCATGACGACTGGGAGCACGACATCGATGAGCGTCTTGAGCATTTCCGTGTGCTCAATCGCAACTTTGGCACCGCTCGCTGTTCCATTTGGAACAACTTCATTGACTAACTAAGGGAGTTAGGCTATCACCAGGTTAACTCCCGACATAAGGTCGACTAATATTTTTCATCTCCTTTTTTTGTATTCGGGGAATGGATTGTTACTAAAAGGACTTGAATAGAATGAGGAGGACGACAGATAGACTCACGATCTAATAAAGTAAAGTCTTTGATATTGGTTCGAATCCAATTCGTGAGATGACAGTGATCTTTAGCTGATCATGCCCATAATAAAGGTTGTTCCAGCCGAAAGATGATCCCAGACCTGTCTGACCTACCGTTAGCTTTGCAGTACTCCCACCCAGGTAAGGACGGACAGGTGGCATAGCGCAATCCTCACCGATGTGGTGTCCAGTCACAACCCTCATTTTCCACTTTATTTCCTTGGCTTTCGAACCGTTGATTGATAGCAATGAGACAAAGAGAGAGAGAGAAAGATTCCAAGTAACTTTCCTTATTCAAAGGAAGAAGAAGAGCGAATGGATTTTTCTTCTATATAAAATGAAAAAAAACAACCGAATTTCGACTTACCTTAGTCTAAAGTCAAGAACGAATTGCCATGACGCTCCAATCCTATCGGTTGACAGTGGAGTTGTGTTGATGGGCAATGATCACCCCTGCAATGTAGTTGGTATTGGTTCGGTCAAAATGCACGACGGTGTGGTGAGAACTGAGGTGCGGCATGTTCCAGACATGTCAAAGAATCTTATCTCTTTGACCACTTTAGATCTCTCTTGGTGGTTGTAAATTTGTTTTAGGTGATGGTGTTTTGAAGGTTGTGAAGGGTGCTCTAATTGTGATGAAGGCTCATCAGATTGGTAGATTGTATGTGTTGCAAGGGTCTACCGTTACAGGCACAGCTGCTGTATCTTCCTCCATGTCAGATTCAGATGAAACCAGATTATGGCACATGAGGCTGGGACACATGAGTGAGAAAGGCCTGACAATGTTGAGCAAGATAGGTCTTCTTTCTGGTCAGAGTACATCCAAGTTGGAGTTCTGTGATTTCAATAAGTTCTGCAAAGATGAAGGCATTGTTAGACATCTTACAGTAAAGAGGTACTCCGAAACAGAATGATTTGATATAGAGCACTAACACCGTCAATACAGGGTGAATCTCATTGTGCATCTACTGGAGCTCATCGAAAGTCTATCTCCGACTGAATCAATATCTCGTTTTCCCTTTGCTGCCACGGAGAGCGATGTTCCGCCTCTTTCTTAAACTCTCGTTCCAGCAGCTTTGAGTTCAACTGCCTGTCCCCCAGTTAAAGAGGTGAAGGAGTGGAAAGGGGCAAGGCCAATGAACCAGCATCTAATTGAATGGATTCTTGATAACCTGCTTCGCCTTAACCAACCCATCCTACATGAATCAAGAAAGACAGTGGCACTGACCATCTTGATGGAGTAGAAAGAAGAATTACTACTAGGCCTGAAGGGAAGCCTAAGAGAATGGGCTACTTATCATACAAGAATCTTACTAGATCGACTACTGACTCGACGGACAAGGAAAGTCAAATCAAAGCTGATACGACTAAAAAATAGAGCAATGGTCCGAATAAATCATGAGAGCTACGCTTTTCTAGCTTAAATTTGCTCGGGACCGAAGAAATGAAGCACTAAGGACTCCGCACAGGCAAAAGAAAAGCTCGGGAAGTATCAGATTAAGCAAACACTCAAACTATCTTAGATGGGCTTGCCTTTGATTCTGATGTCTTTCAAGCTGATTGATAGTGAGATTATTTTTATAACTGGGAAGAAAGTCTTACTCTAAAGTATAAAGTAAGTAAGTCAATTCTATAGGAGAAGAAAAAGAAACTAGGATCTCCGGCTGATAAGAAACTTCAACCCCAGCGAATGGCAAAACAACTGCAACTGGTTCGTAGGAGGCTCCCACTATACATATTTAGTTTGTAGGAAGGATAGGATGGCATCAAGACTGCTCGTATGGAGACTTTTTCTCAATTGTAGGAACCTCCGGGAATGTCTTAGTCCTAGTACTTACTGTTAGGAGAATAGCCCTTCGATCCTTATTATTGTGATTTTTGTTTGTTTGATAGTTCGGCTAGCTTGCTGAACCAGTAGAAAAATATTCGATTCTTCGAACGTACTGATATATAGAGTAGTTAGTATAACGCAGAATCGAGTACTTCTAGTAGAATAATAATAATATACTGTACTTTTTTCAAGGAAAAAGATTGTATAGTAATGATGCCGAATCCGTTAGGTTGAGTTAGTAAAGGAGCATCCGTTAGTACTGATAGAATCGTTCTAGCCTCAACAGGGGAATTACTTTTCAAGTAAACTGACTACTGTTCTTACTTCTAGAACCTGGGTATGCTTATTCACTAGTTGCTGGAAGCGTAGAACGTAGGGCAGTGTTGGCTCATCTTTCACTTCCGGACTCTAGCTTTCTAAAACCTTCCTCACCTATAGCACCTGGCTTAGCTTTAAGCCAATCCCGGTGGACTTCCTTATCCTTATTCTAGAACCTTCACCTGGGAGTAAGAATCTTCCGTACTTCGTCCTTAGTTAGCCTTTGTCTCATTTCCCCTTCCTCACTTGAGCTCTAGGGAATGACTCCTACCCCTCCTGCTACTGAACTATACCTAAAAATAAAAAGACAAAACTCTAGCTCAGCTCGGGGTTAGGCTTATGTGTCCTACCTTGCCATAATAAAGATTGACAACATCTTCGGACCTTGGCCTTGAAGTCGAGTTACTCTCGTGCCCAAACTCCAAAGACTCAGAAAAGGACTAAACTCCGCTACTTGTCTCAGCATCTGCTTCTTTCGGTCTTGCAGCTACTTTTTCAGAGGGATCCCCAAAGTAATATACTTATATGCCCTCCCAATGCCTTAAGGATCTTATGTCTACGCAGGCCTATTCTCCCTAGTGCTCCCTGGTATTACCTCCGATCCTCGCTTTGCGCACAGCCCTCTGAGCCTCTGCAGTAAAACCCAGCCCAAACTTGTCAGTTTTAGGAGTAAAATCAGGGAGCCTACCCCAGTTAGCACATTCACCTTTCTCAATTACAGCCCGGGCGTCCTTTAAGGAGGCCATCTTCAAAGGAAAGTCTTCTTTAACCACTGTCTCAGCTGACGCCAATTGAAATTCTGGCTGCAGATACTCAATGTCACGTTCAATGTTATGACACCGTATCTGACTTTCTATAAGACAGTAAATACAAGAAAACAGTAAAGAACACAGTCAATTGTTTACCCAGTTCAGTGTGCAACAACACCTACTCTGGGGGCTACCAAGCCAGGGAGGAAATCCACTATAAGAGATATTAATTCAGGAATAAACCAACCAGTTTATCTCCTTCACTTAAGACCTACCCAATGCAACTTCAATCTAAGTACAACTTAAACCTGAGTTCCTACTCACTCCCCCTCAATCACAGCAGTGATACTTAAAACAATTGACTAATTAATTGATGAAGACACTCTTCAAAACATACACTCGATTATGCTTCACAGCTTTTTAATCAAGCAACACAAACACTCTTGCTTCACAGCTTTGAGTGATACATAAACCTAACTTGACTTTGCTTCAAAGCTTCAGTCAAGAGACACAAAAACGCTCTTGCTTCAAAGCTTTGAGTGATACACAACCCTTACAATTAAAGCCTATTCCAAGTCACTTATCACAATGATACTTGCTTGGATTACAATAGATAAAACTATACAACTTCTAAATGATCTTCTGTCAAAAAGGGATTAATTCCAAAACAGCAGCTCTGTTGAATATATAGCAGCTGCATCTTCAGTTAGGGTTTCCACAAAAATCTAGGGTTAATTCCGTTTGACCTTAAGACTAGGTCACAGGACTTTATCAACCAGGTTAGGGTTGAGCTAGGTTAACCCCAAGTCCACGAGATTTTCTATTCTGGAAAGACTGAGTCATTTTCCTGAAAAAACTCAGAATTACCCAAACTGCATAACTGTTAGTTCAGAACAGGATGTCTTAACATTTTTTATGACATCTGAAAACCTGTCTACTGATTTAGGTAAATGTGATCTTTTTGCAAAATGCTCAGATACACACTTATAAACAGCAGCACCTGTATGACAGTATTTTTCTGCAAAGGTACCTAATGAATCAGTACCTAATAAACTAGAACGTTATGACATCAGTCATGACATTCACGCACCTGGTTTTACCAAAAATGCATGCCAATAACTAAACAACTACAAACTCCCCCTTTGGCAGATTTTTGGCTAAAGACCCTAAGCAATCAGAGATAGATAGCAGCAGAATAAATATGACTGCAGAAAAATAGAATGTCTAATAAAGTCTACCAAAATATATCTCCCCCTCTTTAGCCACAAATGGGCCAAAGATACATGTTCTTAAAATTTATACAGTCATCCAGAAAAAGTAACACAACAAGACAAAATAACTGAACACGCTTTGCAAACTCCACCAGGGACCAGCATCAACTCCACCAATCAGCAACTCCACCAACCTTTAAGCACTGTCATCAGACTCAGAGGAGCTAGTTTCTTCAGTATTGAGATGATCTTCAGCTTCTACACCCTCTTCCCTTCTGT